CTGCAGCACGGCGTCGACGGGCGCATGCATGCAAACAGCAGCAAAAGGGTCGAGGGGGGTTTGCTGCAGATTGACAATGGCCAGTGCTGCTGCTGCTTTGCTTTTTGCTGCTGCTTTTGCTGCTGCTGCTGCTGCTGCTGGAAAGTGACACGCGGGCTCTATTTGCAAACTTGTCCCCAAACAAAGATGCAAAGGAGACTCTCGAGAATAAAAATTCGACTGAGACAAAAAGTGTCCCTCGTAAGAGTCAAACCAGTCCAGCAGCACGTCCGTGCACACCCCCCGCGGCGGAAAGCTGCACAGCCCTGCAGCAGCAGCAGCAGCAGCAGCAGCAGCAGCAGCAGCAGCAGCAGCAGCGCAGCAGCAGCAGCAGCGGCAGCGGGGGTTGAGGGCTTTTTAGTGCAGGGGGGAGCTGTGCATGCAGCAGAAGGGGAAGTCTTTAAACCGCCTTTTAGCGACTATTTTGCTCAGCAGAGTTGAAGAAGGGTTTAGGGTTTGTGAGGGTTTAGGGTTTGCGAGGGTGTGGAATTCGTGAGGGTTTAGGGCTTGCTAGGGTTTGGAGTTTTCGAGGTTTGGGCCTTGCGAGGTGCGAGGGTTTAGGAGGGTTTGGGCTTTGCGAGGGTTTAGGGTTTGCGGCGGTTTAGGGCTTGCAGGGTTTGCGACTCTGCTGGCTTATTAGGGTTTGCTGCTGCTGCCTAGGGTTTGCTGCAGCTGGTTAGGCTTGTGGGCGTGGTTTAGGGTTTAGGGTTTAGTCTTCTGGCTAGGGTTTGGGGGAAGCTAGGGTTTGCTGCCTCGGCTGGGGTTTGCGGCCTGCAGAAAAGGGTTTAGGGTTTGCAGCGCGGACTAGGGTTTAGGGTTTAGCGGGGCGCTCCCTCTCCGCGCGCCGCGGAGGGTTTAGGGTTTAGGGTTTAGGGTTTAGGGCTCAGCGGGCCGCTCCCTCTCCGCGCGCCGCGGAGGCCTAGGCTCTCCGCGCGCCGCGGAGGCCTAGGGTTTAGGGTTTAGGGTTTAGGGTTTAGGGTTTAGGGTTTGCGGACCGCAGAGCCTCCCCGTGGGTCGAAAAGAAAGAGTTGGCAAAGGATAATCCCTCAAAAACCTCCTGCTGCAGCTGTCACACTTTTCTGCAAATAAACTCCCATGAACTGCAGCAACTCGCTGCAGGGGGGCCCCACACCTCTCGTGCAAAGCGTCCACATTTTGCGTTATTATCAAGTCCACCAGACGCACCCAAAGGGGCCCCCCGGGGGCCCCCCCGGGGGCCCCCAGAGGGGCCCCTCCGGGGGCTCTCCGGCGGACCCTCCGGGGGGCCCCCCTAGTAGAGGCCTTTCTTCTGGGGGCCCCTCCGGGGGCCCCCCTGCACAGAACTCGCGGGGGAAAGGCCCGGGGGGGCCCCCCGGGGGGACTTCGGGGGCCCCCAGAGGGGCCCCCGGGGGGGCCCCCAGGGGGGCCCCTACGGCGGAGTCGCTTGAGGCGCCCGAAGGCTCCTCAGGGGGCCCCGAGGGCCCCTGAGGGGGGCCCTCAAGGGTACTGCTATCACTAGGGGGGCCCCCACGGGCACTGACATCACTAGGGGGGCCCCCAAGGGTACTGCTGTTACTAGGGGGCCCCCCGGGGCCCCCCAGGGCCTCCACAGAGGCCCTTTGCTGCTTAATGCGGGTCTTGTCGAGAGTGCCCTGGGGGCCCCCCTGACCACGCGGGGGCCCCTGGGGGCCCCCGGGGCCCCCCGAAGCATCCGGAGGGGCCCTGGAGTTGCTGGAGGCAGCAGGAAGCTGCGCCTGCTGCTGCTGCTGCTGCTGCTGCTGCTGCTGCTGCTGCTGCTCGGGCTTGCAGGCCGGGGGCGGGGAAGGCAGCAGCTGCTGCTGGCAGCAAAGGGCCCCCAAAATCAAATGCGAAGGAGTGGGAAGGGCCAAGTGAAAGGGTACTACGGGTCTCTTTTGTTTGCCAAAAGAAACCTAAAAAAAAGAAATGAAAAAGACAAAAAGGGGGCCCCCGAGCTGCAGCCTGGGGTGTACGTACACCCCAAGCCCCCGCCCCAGCTGTACGTACACCCCAACCCGCAGCCTGCAGTCCAGCGCCGCCCCACGCAGCAGCAACCCCCACAGCAGCAGCAGCAGCAGCAGTAGCAGCAGCAGCAGCAGCAGCAGCAACCCCCACAGCAGCAGCAGCAGCAGCAACCCCCACAGCAGCAGCAGCAGCAGCATCAACCCCCACAGCAGCAGCAGCAGCAGCAGCAGCAACCCCCACACAGCAGCAGCAGCAGCAGCAGCAGCAGCAGCAGCGCACCTGCACTATTTTGGCCTCTGCGTCCGCGAGGGTGTGGCCGCGCTGCTCGAGTGTCCATACACCCGAGGGGCCCCGGAAGTCCGGAATGCCCGCGCTGGTGCTGAGGCCGGCCCCGGTGTGGACCACCACTCCCTGGCCCTCTTGCTGCTGCTGCTGCTGCTGCTGCTGCTGCTGCTGCTGCTGCTGCTCCAGCTGCTGCGCCACCTGCTGCAGCAGCAGCAGCAGCCGCTTCGTCTTAGCAGCAAACGACGCAGCATTCTCCCGCCCCTCGGGGCCCCCCACGGGGCCCTTGTAGGGGTTTTTCGAAAGCCGCGACGCGTACCCTAGCGCTGTCTTCGAGGCCCCCTGGGGGCCCCCAGGGGCCCCCCCTGGGGGGCCCCCTGGGGGGCCCCCCTGGGGGCCCCCTGGGGGGCCCCCCTGGGGGCCCCCTAGGGGGGAGCCCTGGGAGCAGTTCCCCTGGGGGGGCCCGTTGGGGCCCTCCCGGGGGGCCCCCTGGGGGCCCTCCCGGGGGGCCCCCTGGGGGCCCTCCTGGGGGCCCCCGTTGGGGCCCTCTCGGGGGGCCCCCTGGGGGCCCTCCTGGGGGCCCCCGTTGGGGCCCTCCGGGTGGGATTCCGGTGGAAGCCCCCGGGGGGCCCCCGTCTGGGGGGGGGCCCCCACAAGGGAGGGTTGGGGGGCCCCCCGAGGGCCCTCAGGAGAGTCGGGGGCCCCACATGAAGAAGTACCCAACCCTGGCGAAGAGGGGGGGCCCCCGCAGCCCTGGGGGGCCCCCCAGGGCACTGGGAGGGGGGAGGGGACATCGGCTGAAGAATGCGGCATTTGAGGGTTTGCGGGCACAAGTCCAAACCCTAAACCCTAAACCCTAAACCCTAAACCCTAAACCCTAAACCCTAAAGTGCAGCAGCAAACCCTCGAGCCGGGTTTATGAGACTCTCGCGCCATGCGGCTGCAAACCCCAGCAGCAAGTGGGGGAAGCAGCAGCGGGGGCCCCTGTGCTGCTGTGCTGCAGTGCTGCAGCAGGGTCTTGCTGCTGCCTGGGGCTTCTACTGCTGCTGTTGCTGCAGGGGGGAGTGCAGGGGAACGCAGGAAGTCTCGAGCTGCTGCTGCTGCTGCTGCTGCTGCTGCTGCTGCTGCAGCAAACCGACCCCGCACGTGTCTCGCGCAGCCTCTGCTGCACACCTCAACGACTACAGCTTTCTGCTGCTGCTGGCGCCGAAGAAACGCAGAGGGGCCCCCGGAGTGGTGGGGGCCCTGCAGGCGCAGCAGGGGGGCCCCTCTCTGAGGGGCCCCTGCTGCTGCTGCTGCTGCAGCGTCAGCGAGGCTGCAGCAAAAAGGGATTTTCTAATTAAAGGCTTGCAGGCCTGGCATAAGAAAGAGGCGGTGCCGCTGAGAACCCCTTTAGGGGAGTTTCCAGAGGCAGCAGGCTGCAATTCCCAGCAGCTGCTGCTGTTTACGGCAAAGCTGGGCGCCGCTTTCCTGCTTCTTCTGTGCCCTTCTGGGCTCTAAAAGTTCAAATTCGGATTCAAATTCAAATTCAAATGCATTTCAGAAAGTTGTTTCAGCGTTGAACTCGTCAAAAAGCCCGAGATCGCGTCGTTGGCGTGGGGTGTATGTGCAACTTTTGCAACAGTGCACCGTACCGCCGCCTGCAGCCGTTTTTCCATTTTCTTCTTTTGTCCTTTTAATTTAAATTAATATTTTTGAGTCATTAAAGCCCTCGCGAGCAGCAGAAGTCCAAAAGACAGCTCGCCGACGGCCAGCAGCAGCTTCCCCCTCTCTTGCACATCGCCGCGAGTCGCTGCAGCGCGGAAAGCTGGAGGATCTTGCCATCTTTTCTGTTTTTTTCTGAATTTAATGATAAATACTGTCATTTCGAATTCATTTATCTAAATTTTGGAGCCGCAAGCTGCAGAAACAGCCGCGAAAACCGAACTCAACATCCGAAACTTGAATAGCCAGCAGTGGCGCTGGTAACTAAGCCGGCGTGCAGTGCAGCTTGCTGCATTTCCTTCTTCATTTTTGGAAAAGCAAATAATTAATTTTCTAAATTTGAATAAAATTAAACTAAAAGCCTTTCTAATATTCTAGAAATGGACTGCAGCCCCGCGAAATCCACTTTTGCAAGAAGAGGAAATACCCGCAGCGGGAAACGCCGAGTCCAGAGGGCACGGCAGCGCTCGCCAGGGTTTAGGGTTTAGCGCCTAGGGTTTAGGGTTTAGCCCCTAGGGCCTAGGGTTTAGGGTTTAGAGCCTAGGGTTTTGGCCTTGGGCTCAGTCTGCTGGTTTGAAGGGAGCCGCAGGCAGTGCAAAGGCGTCGCCTCGAGGCCCTCGATGCTCCCTTTATTGCTGCCCCTCTCAGGAGTAATAATGAGGGTTTAGGGTTTAGGGTTTAGGGTTTAGGGTTTAGGGTTTTCTGTGGCTTTACTCCAGCTGCTTCGTCCTTATGATCTCGCGAAAGGTAATTGCCTTTTCCAGCAAGACCTCCACTGCCATCTGCGGCCGCACACGCATTTCGGGGCTGCATGCGCGCATGCATGCACGCAGGCCCAAACCCTAAACCCTAAACCCTAAACCCTAAACCCTAAACCCTAAACCCTAGCTCTTCGGAGCCGCGCAGCCGCGCCCTTACCTCGAACAGCTCTGGGGCCGGCACCGAGCCAGTCGACTCGATTGAAACTGAAAGAAGCAAAAAAGAAAAAAGAGAAAAAGAAATAATAAAACAAAAGGAGAATAAAAATAAATAAAACAAAAAAAATAAAAAAATGAAAAAGGAAAAATGAAGAAGTGCAAAACGCCCCAGCGCACAAAAAGAAACGGTCTGCATGCAAATAGGGCTTTTCTGCACAACTAAATCAAGTAAACCCTAAACCCTAAACCCTAAACCCCCAAAACCCTAACCCTAAACCCTAAACCCTAAACCCTAAACCCTTGAAGCCCACAAATGAACTGGTCCGGGATCTTGTTGAGTTGCAACTGATTTTCAAAACGCTCCAAACATGCACGACAAGTCGTGCAATTTCGAGGGAACTTCGCGTAGGCACGGCCAGCTGCGCAACAGCCAAAAGGACTTAGCCAAAAAACGCGAATTTGCAATAAAAAAGGACTTAGCCAAAAAACGCGAATTTGCATTAAAAAGGGACTTAGCCAAAAAACGCGAATTTGCAAAAAAAAAGGACAGCCAAAAAACGCGAATTTACTACAAAAAGGACTTAGCCAAAGAACGCGAATTTGCATTAAAAAAGGACTTAGCCAAAAAACGCGAATTTGCATTAAAAAAGGACTTCGCCAAAAAACGCGAAATTGCAATAAAAAAGGACTTAGCCAAAAAACGCGAATTTGCATTAAAAAAGGACTTCGCCAAAAAACGCGAATTTGCAATAAAAAAGGACTTCGCCAAAAAACGCGAATTTGCAAAAAAAAGGACAGCCAAAAAACGCGAATTTGCTACAAAAAGGACAGCCAAAAAACGCGAATTTGCAATGAAAATGGACTTAGCCAAAAAACGCGAATTTGCATTAAAAAAGGACTTAGCCAAAAAACGCGAAATTGCAATAAAAAAGGACTTAGCCAAGAAACAGAAATTGCAAAAAATGGACTTTAGCCAAAAAATAGATATTGCAAAGAAAAGGACTTAGCCAAAAAATAGAAATTGCGCGTTTAATACTAATTAAAGCACTTAGCCAAGAAACAGAATTTGCAAATTTAAGGACTCAGCCAAAAAACAGATATTGCAAATAAAAGGACTTCGCCAGAAAACAGAACTTTGCACATCAAAAACTTCACGAACTTGCAAATAATAGGACTTAGCCAAAAATACGAATTTGCAAATTAAAAAGGGCTTCAGGAAATATCGGGGATTAGCAAGTTAAAGGGCTTGAGCAACCCTCCTAAACCCTAAACCCTAAACCCTAAACCCGAGGACTGAGTAAGTGCGAGGACTCCTGTAAAGCAAGCCCCTTGTTGCCTCCAGGATTAATCAAGACCCGCCCCAGCCCCTTAGTGCTAAACCCTAAACCCTAAACCCTAAACCCTAAACCCTGTGGGCTTGTTGCGACTTACTGGAATCTTCAATATCGAAAACCCCCATGGGACATAACTCCTTTAGCTCTTCCGCATCTTCGCCTTCTATTGGGCTTGTGAAGACTGCAGGAAAAAAGCCGCAAAAGAAAGTCCGAGGTGTACAGACACCTCAGCTGCTGCTGCGGTGTACAGACACCTCAGCTGTTGCTGCGGTGTACAGACACCTCAGCGGCGCCCGCCCGACCTGAATCTTTCTTTTCTTTTGCTTCCGCACTATCAAATGAATTAATTTGAATTATATTTGTTTTATTTTTATTTTATTTTTATTTTATTTTTATTTTATTTTTATTTTATTTTGCTTTTCTTTTTTAAACCTACCAAACTCAGGCTCCAGTCTGTACACCGCAGTCGCCACCGGCGACCATTTCGCATGCGTCTTCCCCAGCCCCTTCTCTAGGAAGCCGAACAGTTCAATTTCCTGAAAAGGATAAACGAATAAATAAATAAATTAATAAATAAATAAATAAATAAATACATAAATTAATTAATTAATTAACTAATTGTTCGGTTAATTAATTTATAATCAGCTAGCTCCACAGACCAACGCAGCTAGCTAGACTCGAGCGCAGCCGCTTGGCTACGTAGGCAGCCACAGCTAGCTAGCTAGCTAGCTGGCTAGCTAGCTAGCTAGCTAGCTGGCTAGCTACTTAGAGGGTACGCCAGCTTGCTAGCTACCTAGCTGGCTATTTAGCTGGCCGGTTAGCTAGCTAGTTAGCTAGCTGGCTAGCTAGTTAGCTAGCTGGCTAGCTAGCTGGCTCTTTGGCTGATTAGCTAGCTAGCTAGCTCCCCGACAAGCTAGCTAGCACTGCCCCACGAGTGAATGCATGCATGCAAACGAAGCCCCAAAAATGCAGCTCCCACATGCATGCAAGCAAAGCCCGTGCATGCATGCATGCATGCATGCATGCATGCATGCATGCATGCATTCAGATCCCACGCATGCATGTATGCAAAGCTCATGCATGCATGCATGCATGCATGCATGCAAAACGCATGCATGCAAGTATGCATGCATGCAGGGAAAGCCCCACCTGGCCTGGCCTGAGTTTTGTAATTAAGATGTCGGGGTGGACTGGGGCGGGAGGGTCTTGTGCAAATTTTTGCTTTTGTCTCTCCGACATTGGAATCCACTTCAAGTCCCGCGCGTATACTGCAGCAAACCCTAAACCCTAAACCCTAAACCCTAAACCCTAAACCCATAACCCTAAACCCTAAACCCTAAACCCTAAACCCTAAAGCCTGAACCCTACACCCTAAGCCCTCAACGCCAACGCCGCAACCCTCAAGGCTAAACGCAAAAAGCACGACTCAGAGCACTAAACCCTAAGCCCTTAACCCTCAACTTTAGCCCTAAACCCTAAACCCTAAACCCTAAACCCTAAACCCTAATGTCTAAACCCTGAACCCGAGGCCCCGCGTCAGCCGCAGCCACCGCGGGTCCGCAAACCAGCACCCGCACTACCTAAACCGCATCGCCTAGGGTTTAGGGTTTAGGGTTTAGGGTTTAGGGTTTAGGGTTTAGGGTTTAGGGTTTGCCTGTATGGTCTCGAGGGCCGCAGTGGGGACTTCACTGATGAGGATGCGGCGAAGGGCGTTGGCGAGGGAGGCGTCGCAACCCTTGAGTTCCAAAACCACGATTTGGGGTTTGCATTCCAAAATTTTGATTTTCAAATTCTTTTCAAAAGTCTCCAAATCAAAAACCTCCATTTCGTGAGAAACCACGGGGCTTTCCCGGGGCCCCTCGAGGGTACACTGCACCCGGTTGGGGAGGCCGTGGGGGCCCCTGGGGGCCCCCTTGCCCGCGGGCATTGCCGAGGGTTTAGGGTTTAGGGTTTAGGGTTTAGGGTTTGGGGGTTCCGGCTTCGGCTCGCCCTCCCGGAGCCCCGCTCCGAGGCCCAGCAGGCTCCTCGCTGCACGGCCTTGGCCTTCGAAGCCACGCTTAGGGTTTAGGGTTTAGGGTTTAGGGTTTAGGGTTTAGGGTTTAGGGTTTGGGGCCACGCGTCCAAAGCTACGGCCAGGGCAAACGCCGCGTTGAGCCCTAAACCCTAAACCCTAAACCCTAAACCCTAAACCCTAGAGCCTCAGGAGAAGCCCCAGAAGCGCTGCTCGCTGGCCTCGCCGGAGGGAAAGAAAGGAAATGGAACTTCAAAACAAAACAAAAAGTATTTTTAAAATAAATTATTTTATTTATTTAATTTAATTAATTCAGAAAAGTCAAATTAATACCAGCCACAAAAAAGCGCAGGGCTCAAGCCGCCCGTCGATTGCTGTGGGGCCCCCGACGACCCTAAACCCTAAACCCTAAACCCTAAACCCTAAACCCTAAGCGCTACACTGTACAATCTAAACCCTAAACCCTAAACACTGGACCCTAAACTCTAAATCCTAAACCCTCAACATTGAAATTTCAAGCCTCAGCCTAAATGCTACAATATCCTCAGCCCTGAAACCCTAAACCCTAAACCCTAGCTTTCGACAGCCTCAAACCTCGGAGCATAAACTCCGCAACAAGCGATCAAATGAGATAAAATTTGAAAATTAAATAAATAAATAAATAAATAAATAAATGAATAAATAAATAAATAAATAAATAAAAGTTATAAAACCAAATTTTTCAAATTTTAACCTCAGCAGCCGCTGTCGAGCGCCCGGTGCTGGGGTGTACGTACACCCCAACGGCCCGCCTTCCACTCATTTCCAGTTCGAATTTAAATACTTTTGTTTTCATCACTTCAATTTGTTTTCGATAACAGCCTCCAAACCCTAAACCCTAAACCCTAAACCCTAAACCCTAACAACGAAGCACAGTTTCCAAACCCCAAGCGCAAACCCTAAACCCTAGGCAGCCGCAAAGAACGGCACGTTTCGCCTCTAGCTGCTGCCTGGGCGCTAAACCCTTGAAAACTAAAGCAGCAGAAGCAGCAGCAGCAGCTGCTGCTGCTGCAGCAGCAGCAGCAGCTGCTGCTGCTGCAGCAGCGAGTGCCACTGCTGCAGCAGCAACAGCAGCTCCCGCTTCATCAGCAGCAGCAGTCGCCGGTCGCGCTGCTGCATCACTTGCAGCAGCGGCAGCAGCTGCAGCAACTTGCTGTTGCTGCAGCAGCAGCAGCAACTTGCTGCTGCTGCAGCAGCAGCAGCAACTTGCTGCTGCTGCAACTTCTCTGTGCTCTTCCCGCTGCTGCTGCTCCAATTTCCTTGACGACCTTTCGCGTCTTTTACACTTTTGTTCATTGTTTAGAGTCCAGTGTTCCCTGACGCTGTTCCCTACCTTTCTTGCTGCTGCTGCTGCTGCTGCCGCTGCTGCTGCTGCTGCTGCGGCTGCTGTCCCATTCTGTTTCGCCTCTGCGGCTGCGTTCGCTGCAGCAGCAGCAACAGCAGCTGCTGCTGCTCCAGCCATCACTGAAGCAGCAGCAGCAGCAGCACAAGCTGCTGCTCCCGCTTTCGCTGCTGCAGCGGCAGCAGCTGCTGCCCCTGCTTTGCTGCTCCGTTGCTGCAGCAGCAGCAGCAGCAGCAGCAGCAGGCCACTCACTCCCACTCTATGGTGGCGGGAGGCTGCCGATTCCGCGCACGGAGTTGGTGATTTCGCTGCTGGCAGCATCCAGCAGCAGCAGCGGCAGCTGCTTGCTGCTGCTGCTTTCGACGACGAC